CATGCAGTCAATAGGTTGTGGAACATACTCAGCTACCCACTCCCCCTGTTTATATAACGCTTTGTGCAGCTTCAGGAGGCAAGATGAAAGTGGCTTCTTTGAGTAGTAAGGTGTGCCCCACCACATCTCTCTGCAATGTAACTGTAAAGTGCAGTATGCAGTCACACTGCCTTGCTTAATCTGCAGTGAATATACAGTATGGTACCAATGAGTAGCAACCAGTAGCAGCCCTGCCACATTCATTATATAGTAAAGCAATCAGTGAGCAACCATTAGCCATGACTCATTCACAGAGCAATAGGTACAGTAACCAGTAGCCCTGCCACATTCACCATATTTAATTATAGTGAAGTCAGGTGCTAAGGAGTGACTCCCCTTAGGTATCTCTGCAGGAGAAGGGATACATTGATTCTGCTCTCCTACAAAGTTCCTAAACTCATTTAGCATCTAGATGCTCTTGCACTGAATAAGGCAGGCCTCTTTATATTTAATTTACTCTTAAACTACCAAGGTGTGGTGCAGCCCTATTTCTTTTTGAATGTAGAGACACCTATTAAAAGTTTGTCATTGCATCAAATAAACCCACTATACATGTTCCAGTGCTGGTTTTCAAATCCTTCTAACTCAGCCAAATCAAAACCAATTTTCACTGGGATACAGCATAATAGCTCTATTGCCCAAGGGCTATTTCCCTGCCAAATTACAGCCTTCTGCACCCACTCACTTTGGCAATAGCCAGACAATCCCAACGTCACAAATACATATAAGTATGATACTTTTATATATAGATCAAGCATTAGTACAATCTGATTCTAATCCATGGAGTCACAGGGGACAGTGCTTTGGAGGATAGCCAGTCCTATCTTCAACCTCTGCCCCCTAAAATTCTAGGGAACACATTTCAAGCAAAACGCATCTATACATTTCTGTGGAGTGGGAGAAAGTGGTACAGAAGCAGCATTCCACCCATTCCAGACCAATGGGATTATCTGACCACTAAAGGGATACTCTGGCCAAAATTGCTAGCTCATGCTTTTTTAATATATATCATTATGCAACTAGTGCACCTCTCATTACATACACAACTGGAATGTCACTAGCTTAGAGAGGGCTTTCTTGGGTAAAGCTTGGTGGTTTTTATAAATATATAAACAAATCAATCTTATTTGAAAATGGGAGGTTCCACAAATAGGCAATTCAAGACTTGACCTTTTTAGTAACATTACAATCCCCCTGTCTTTTGGGTATTCAGTTTCAAATGTAAGTGCAGAAAAAGTAATCAGACATGATATGAGAGTTTTATTCCATGGGAATTGGCATGTGCCCCCAAAGGGCATTCATTACCATCTTAATTACTTCACCTCTGAGGTATTCAGAGCCATATCAAGCACTGTATACACACACACACACATGCATTAATTAGATATTAGACCAGCCATTTTCTCTCTTTGGCCCCAGGCATCCAAGCAATGGGATGTTTTGGGACATTTATATAAGTTATCTGGAATTCCATAGCCCTGGTTCCAGACCGGTCTGGACTACTATTGGATGAGTTTGAGACCCAAAAGTTTGGTGTACAAAATCTTGTTTGTGCTAAGAGAAATAAACTGGCAACAGATTTAGCCTGGTGGCAAGGATATGAATATTAGGAGGGAAGAATAGCTCTTCAAGACAGATGTCTTCCCTGTGGGTTTCTGCTCACAGGAATTAGATTTTCCACAAGGAGTTAGAATGCTTGCAGTTGCATTAGCAGCACAATGCCTTAGAAAGGTGGAAAGTAACAGGCTGTAGTTGATTTGCCAGCAACTGCAGCTTTAAGAGAAGCCTAGATTTTTTTAGAAGATTTGGCTCAAGAAAGCAACCAAGTATGGAGTTAGAAGACTGTGGATTCCCAGCCTGTTTTAAATGTCAAAGGCAGGCTCCTGAAAGGGAACAGATTACTGCAGTTCACTGAAAACCCCAAGAGTCAAATTTCTCAAGTTAGGAATATAGGGTGAATTAAGCCTTTTGGGGTCAGCCTGGGTGGGTTGGCAAACATAATTTAGCCATGTGATTGGCCTGGAGAGTGGGTGAGGTTCCCAAGCACCAGGTGATATTTGGTGAAGAAAGGACGTGTGGGTGGAAGAACCAGGACAGCAGCAGTCAGTGAATAGAGTGAAGCAATTATAACATCAGTAGGAAAGTATGCAGGGGTTCTCAAACTTCAGAACTGCCAAGGTAGGGCATGCATCAGAGAAACTTGAGTGAGGGGGAAATGCTAGCAAGTTTTCTGGAAAGCTTCATTTAAGATAAAGGCATTTCCTCATAGATGGGGAGATATATAGGGAGGTGGACTGCAGAAATACTGGTAGTGTTGTGACAAGGGAGTTGGATATGATCTGTGATTAAACCAAAGACCCTGACAACATGTAAACAAATTGCAGCCCTACTTTAGCCTCCAGGTATGGAGGTGACTAAGGACCTACAGATATTCTGTTTAGAATTCATAGCTAGTTTTACATATTAAATCACCAGCTCCCGTTTTCTTTTCCTGTAAGTAAAAGACTGGATTGTTCTTATACACACAACCCTTTACTTTAGGTTAAAAAATAAATCCATCTCCCTCACGGCTTTCTTCTGCCAGTGTGTGAGCAGACAGTGCTCCTCTTCTCCCTCCCTTAACCTCTCCCTCCCCCATACCCTCTCACGCTCTCTCTCCCTAAAAGAAGGATAATACCTGCAGGCATGTCTAACATAGAGCAATTTGTTTGGGTTTCAGTTCTCTAACAGGAATTACATGATTGGTTTCATTCACTCCTCCAGAAACAACTATTGGAGGCCTGTGCCCACCCACCACAGAACTCCACAGATAGAGGGGATGTAAACCCCAGAGATCCCTGCCTCAAGGGCATAGAATGGGGAATAGTCTTCTCCGTTGCAGCATTCTATCCTGCTTCCACAGGAACTGCACCATCCATTTGGGGTTTTGCATATGGTGAGGAGGCAGATAACATTCCCCTACCAATGCCACAGAAAACATGCATCGTCTCCACACAGTGTGGAGCACTACATGTCCTGATAGCACACAGAGGAAGGTGTGAGCTGCATCAGCATTGCACTGGAACAATATGGAGGAAACTCCTCTAGGTGAACCTTCCAGAGTCTCCAGTTCCCTGTGCAGGTTTCCCAGCTATCACAGGAAAGACTGACATTGCTCCAGTGAGATACAATGCAAATATCAATACACTTACCATATCATCACAGTTGTGTAGGGCAGATTGGACTTTCATGTGTAGTTCTGGAGGTGAGAACTCTGACCCACTTGCGATCCAGGAGTTTTAAAGTGATCTTCCTAAGTGTGGGGATCCCTGTTTCTCCTTGTGAAATTCTCCTCTCCTTCCCAATCCCTGTATTAATGTTTACAGAAAACTGTATTATTGGATCAACTCCTCTTGTGACCAGCAGATTTTGGCCCATTCATATTATACATTGATTTTTAACCCCCCCTTCTTCTCATCTTGAAGTTTGTACTACTGAACAATTAGAGTGTCAGATCTGTCATGTCCCCTTTTATTTATGCAGCTAAATCCAACATAAAGCAACATTGCACAGCTGCTTAGGATAGAATACTGTTGCCTTGCAACACACAAAAATTACAATTTCTAGGTTCCCATGGAATTCCAATCATTAGTGGTAACATGTATTTTCAGTTTTAAGATCAAACACAAATCTTTCTGAAGAAAAGTAAGTTTTGCAAGGATTGTATGTTCATTCATTTTACATTCACCCTTTAATAGATTCTAAGTTTTTTTCCTCTCTAGGCAGAAGGCAATAATTTCTTGTTCATTCTTAAAAAAGTAAAAATAAAGCACAAGTATTTTGTCCAGAGATTTAACATATTATATTTTGAAAAATATTAGCGATGGGCCCAAGACAAAGCTTGGATCCAGAGCCTATGTTCCCAGAGGGTGTTCTGTTCCAAAATTTTTGTTTAGGCCCATCTCTTCCTCTGGACAAGAATATGTTGAAAGCAATACTGCCAAATACATATCCTATTTTGAAAAGTTAACTATTACATGCTAGATGGGATAGAGTGAAGTAATTTTTTTTCCATTATGTTTTTGCTTCCCTCTTTCATTTCACTTAATGAAACAGCTAAAACTATAGTCAGTGTCACTTTGATACTCCAGCACCAGCAAAATTCCACTGTGTTTGTTTCTAAACTGCAGGGGAATGTCCTTGAGTTGTAATTGAAAAAGACTAAGTTCTTTCCTAACTTACATTCAGGTAACTATTGAAGTCCCCTTAGTATCTCATTGAACACACAGGTGTAAATTTGGCCCACTGGGCATAATCCTGCATGCATTAATTTCTGTGGGAGCAGGAGTGAGGCCACTTTATGCAGAAATTATGTCAAAGCATTTATTCATGCGCTCAAAAATACAGGGAAAGGAATGAGGAAGGAAAAAGAGTTTTAAAATCTAAATTGAAAAAGTGATAACAGTCAGTGTGATAGAGATAAGGTTGTTCAAGATAGCAGGAATTGAAGGAAAAAGGCCTCACATGAGCTATGGTGAGGTTTTGGGAAGGCAGTCTTTGGAAGATAAGACACTCTCCTGCTCATAAAGAACAGAAGTACTTGTGGCACCTTAGAGACTAACAAATTTATTTGAGCATAAGCTTTCGTGGGCTACAGTACTCCTGTTCTTTTTGCGGATACAGACTAACACAGCTGCTACTCTGTCTCCTGCTCATGTTATACAGTGGTAACCTCATGCTGAAAAGGGAGAGGTTTTGGGTTTTTTTTTTTTAATTATCCCAAAGCTGAGTTCTTGTATGCCAGGATTCATGTGTCATGACTGGCAATAACTAAACTAGACTTGATTTTACCTGGAGAAAACTGAAGAGCACATTTTAAACCCCAAACTAAATTGAGAGCTTTCAGTGGAAACATCGGTAAACTCAGTGCAACTGTGCTGCTCTATTTTTATGTGTCTTCTTTTTTTGTATTTATCTTCCAGAGTGGATCACTTAAGGAACCAGAGCCAAACAAAATCCCACCTCAGCGACCACCACCTCAAGGTTGTTTACAGTATATTCTCGACTGTAATGGCGTTGCAATAGGACCAAAACAAGTCCAGGCTACTTAAATAATTGACAATAAAAGCAGGGGTTAAAGCCAAAAACCAACCTTAAAAGCAAACATACCAGTTTATGTGCAGTTTTTGCATTGTTTCAGTGCTGACCTGGACTGTGTTTTTTCTATGCAGTGTCAACTATACTGTGTGGTTGTTTACCTGTTCATGTCTGTGCTTGTAATGCTTACCTATGTTTCTCTGTATAACTTGTGATTTCAGGGCTGTTGTCAACAGTGTATAAAGAATTGTGCCTCTACAGAGTCCAGTACGACTGTATATTATGGATGGTTAGACAGTATTTTTTAAGTATTATATATTGTGGGGTAAACAACAACCCAGGTTCAGTTTTAAATACTTTTGCTTAACTCTGTGAGTGTGTGCGTGTGATATTCGTAATTTTTTTTTGCATGACTGACATCGATAGGTGATTCAGATAGACATTCTAAAAGATATAATTTAATGTATTTGTTGATTGAGGCTTTTTTTTAAATAATTTTATAAAGTCTGTTAATATTTGAATTTTATTTATAGGTAAGATGTAGAACTCTAGTGTTTCAGTGATTCCATAAAACAAGAGACTTCTTCCCAGGAACATTTAAATATCCTGTATTTTACATACTGGAGTTCATATTTTTAATCAATTCTGTATTAAATTATTAGCTACAAAGCTATGTAAATGGGCCACCTATGTGCAATATCTCATTGAAAATGTGAGTATTTAATGTATCTCAATTCAGTTAAGTAGTTTCTTTTGTTGTGGTTCTGAATTAGTCATCTGTGGTTTCTACAAAAACCTAAGACAAATGTTACCCCAAAATTCTTTAGCTAGCTAAAAAGGTTAAGTTAATCTCATGGTATTTGGTGGGAAGTGTCTGCAGGATTATTGAGCCCCCTAAAATGTCTTGTTTGCTAAATATCGGGACTTCAGCTGGTGTCATTCTGCATAGTTCCATTGACTTCAGTAGAGCTGGATTGATTTACACCAGCTAAGGCTCTGTCCCATTAACTATAACATGAAACAAATAGATAAGTAATTTACTTCATGTCAGTGCCACTATTTTCACTCAAATATCAGGATATACATTTAAAAATTCTATCCCAGAATTAACCACTAAACACGGTCTTATCTTTATTCATAACTCAAAATGCAAAAAGACCTGAGATGTTTGACTTTTGCCAGACTTTCTATAGCCATAATTGCTTATGACTTTCACATAACTAATTTACTCTTCAATATAACAAGCAATATCCAGGCAGGCCATCGAACTGTTATGAGAAATCTAGCCTAACACAACCTGCACTATTCTAGCATACTGTAAAACTTAGTTGTAAGCAAGGCACAGCACTGTATTTTGTCATTTAGACAAAGGCAAATAGTGGTCACTAGCTTAATACAAACAATATTGTTTTCCTTTAAAAAAATATTATGTTCTACTTTTAATTTTCCCTACAAACACTGAAAAAAAACCAACAACAACAAAAAAAACTTAGCATTGTGAGCTTTATTAATTGTAAAAACAGGCTGGCAAGATGAGAATTTATATATGCATTATTAGCTATTTAAATGTTAACGGTGAATGCTATTGTTTACTGCCGATCAGTAAATTACATGAAATTTTGCTTTAGTGATCTGTGTTTTTCTGAGTCAATGATCTTTGTGATGACGACATTGGCTATTTTTGTTGCGTATGGAGAAAATACACTTAAGATCAGGTTCACAAATTCTTACCTTCAGATATCATAGATGAGAATAATACTGCCCTGGGGTGAAGAAATGAATCTGTTAACCGAGTGATTTTTATTTAAAGCGGTGGGTGTTGTTTTGCATGTAGTAGTGTGAGTAATCACAAGTGCTTTTCATGTGACATTTGTGAGTTGTATGTGCAGAGTGCAAAGAAAAGAATTGCATTTCAGGTAGGACTTCAGCTTGTTGATTGTAAAAGTTAGAGGGGCACATACCTATTACTTCATACCACAGAGAAGCAGCAAGTCAAAATGTCTCTGCATGCAAGCATGCTTAGGTGCAAGTTTGTGAGTAACAGGGAACAGATGTTTACAGTGTAGGATTAATGTTCAGATTTTATTTATTTCTTTATTTGGTAAAAGTTTCTTTCATGATTGTTCCCTTTTTGTACAACCCAGCTGCAAGAAAGTGAGCAAATGCTGGAAGTGTGACTGCAGTATATCTTTTATGTGAAATATCTTGTACAGCTTAATGTGCAATAAAAGAAAGTTACATCTGTCTTCAGTGTAAAGTTTCTGGCATTCAAGCCACTATGTGTAAGTGGGAGGTGGAGGGGAATATTTGTTTTCCAGTACTGAGTGAAAGGAGGCTAATAAGTAAATGAGTATCGTTAAGATGTTGCAAGACTGTTACCACTTTTGAGGTTTCCTAAAAAAAGTCATAAAAATTTACAAAATGAAGTCCCATTCCCTAGTATTAAGTAGATGCTCCTTACCTTTCTACAACACAAAATATTGAATAATCCTAGTTGTGGTAAACTTTTTGAAGCACTAGTATGTTCGGTTCTTCCACGCACACAATATTATACAGTAAGTGGAAAACTAGCCATGACTATTTGTCTGTTTAAAAAGAAAGACAATGGCATATTGTGCTGATACCATTTCTTCCAGATATAGAAGCGTTTTCTTTTCTGAGGACTAATAAGAGGATGAGAGATCTTACACAGACATTAAATCTCTTTGTAAGAGGACTTAAATTCTGACATTTTCAAAACAGCTAGATCAATAGGCTTGCCTAATGTTCATGTCCATTTTGCAAAGATCCTGACTGAAAAATTATTTAATCAAATCTATCAAAAAGTTTTGTCTCTGGCTCTGCCTCCGCTTCCCTTTCATTCAGATGTGCTATATTAGCTATGTGACATGTGAGGGTAATGATTCTGCTGTAACTGCCAATTCATCAAAAGCCTCCCAGTGAAAACCACATGTAGACACCTGACACTACATACAGTGCAGTGCCTGCTGACTGAGATCTGACTGAGTACATTTTCAGTCAGGAAGCCTCAAAACCAACAGTCTGATGATACAGCATCTTTTCAAAAGCCTGCTGATCAGTTCTGTCATGGATTTCACAATTTAAGTTTCTGCCTCATATGCTATTCCCATACTTTTTATAATGCTGTTCTATTTGCCAGCTCATAGTCTAGTCAGTAAAAGCAAAAACTCAGACTCCTTGGTCACTAAGAATAAATTAGTGATGACTTTTTCAGGTCTCTCTGTATTCTTTTCTTAGATATTTCACTACAAAATCTAATAAATTACCAGAAGTCTCCAGTCAGTGTCATTTTAAAGTTATTTTACTGCTGTAAAGGTAACTGTAAATGGAATAATATAAGCAACTATGGAGATAATTTTAAAGCTTTGGCTCTTCAACAGTACTGTAGTAGCATCACATAAAAACAATAGATGAATCAGCTGCACTGGTGAATTATCAGAATATTCTGCTGTAGCTAAACCTCTCACTGAACCAGGCCAAATTTATCCTTGGGATGTTCGGCTAATTGGATCTCATAGTAAATTTAAGGCTGGAGTGGAAAGGTGCTATAAGGAATGTATCAGTTGTGGTAAATAGTACTGACTATACTAAGTTGGTGGTCTATATTAGCAGAATATTGTCTCAACACAGAATTTGACAGATTCCAGGATTATTTTTTAAGTGTTGGATATAAAATATAATATACGTTCTTTGATACTGTAACATTATGAAGTTTTTCTTGTACTGAACTTAGGGGGCCCAGTACAACCCCAAGGAACGCAATCACAAAGCCAGGAGCCATTGCAACCACAGCGCATGTTCCCCCTGGGGCAGTCAGCAAAGCCCTCAACTTCCCAGCCACAACGTCCACCTGGCCCTACAACTCAACAACCACGTGCGCGGGGTCAAGGTATTTCCAGCGCCGGGTTATCAGTGGAAGTGGAGCCAGAGCCACAACCTGCTCCACAGCAGAAACCTCAGTCTCATCCACAGCTTAAGTAAGATATTTGTTTCTCTCCTTCCCCTGCCATATAATTGTATTTTGTTTCCATAACAGTAGCTTGGGTGCCTGTCTAATACATAGCAGCAAAGCAGAACGTGCTTTTGACTGTAAAAAGAGGTCAATACAGAGAGTCATACCCACATCCTAAATGCTGTAAAAGCAGAATTTCATATGATACCTGCACATTTTCAGCTCAAACCAGGGTTGGTTTGACGAGGCATCATCCTCTCATTTTTTTTCTCCTTTTTTATGTCACTGACTCATGATTTGCATGCACTGTGAGTAAAGCTGCACAGAAAAAAAGGAAGTCTTATCTGTTTAAACTTTTAACCTTGCAATCACTCAGACAAGAAAAGATTTCAGTTTCAAAAGGCCTATATGAAAAATAATCCAAATTAACATGCTACACAGATGCAATACTTAGTTAGATGGGTTTCTTTGCAATACTGTTTCTTTCAAGGTTATACACTGCTGCTTGAACATACAGTACAGGTAACTCAAACAAACCATCTCCCTTGTATACTGCAGTTAAAGTATAAGTACCAGTACAATAAACGGTGTGCACTAAACACAGAGAAGGATCCTCGGATTCTACACCTCCCGGTAGGAGGATACTCCAGACCAACAGTTAGCAGGAAGTGGCATAGTATGCAATTGCTGCTATCTCCAGCCAACCCCGTCCTGCCACTGATGGATCCTCTGTCCCACAGATCTCCCTCCTCACGGCTTGACCCAAGGGAAGGGGAGAAGAAAAGAGCAGCAGCAAAGAGTCTTGTTCTTCCAATGCTTGCAGTGTGCATGACACACACATACTGCTAGCAGGAATGGGAGGGATGTCCTAACATTCCAATGGATCTTCCAATATTATATATTCCAATAGTATAGTCTTAATTGGATAAACAAAGAGACTAGATCAATTTTTGTATAACACAATAAATCTGTATGAGAGACCAGTTCCCTTTTTCTAGCCCCTAATATGCTAAAACTAATGTGAACAAATCTCCTCTCCGCACCTATAATCAGGCTTTGCTAAGAATCTCCCCCACAATGAGTGAGCTGGACTTGTTAAGCACATGAGACTCAGTGGGGGCAATAGTGACCCAAAAAATGGGACAAGTGTGGCTGTTTCTGGAAGAATCTTGTTTCTGTCCCATAGCATGTTGTATATCACTATTCTTGTTCTGTGATCTTATGTCCTGAGATAAATTAATCCATTCTTTAAGTGTACACAAGAGAATGTGAATGACAATTTTCCCCATCTCAGAAACTGTCTGAAACCTAACTAAGATTTTCCTGACATTCTTTTTAAATAGTTATTATATATGCATGATTTTCTAACCCTCCCCATTAATTTGTACCTCTGCTCCCAATTTACATCTAAATAGATTTATAGTTTTCTTTTCCAAGATACATCCAGTTTTCTCTCATCAAATATAACTTTTAAAAGGCAATTAGTTTTTAGTTGGCAACATTTCAAAACTAGAGCTAGAGTATGGCATTAACCCTGTCAGGGGTAAAATTAGTTTATGCAACTTTCCAAGAAGCAACTTTACTCCAAACAGATTTCAGTACATAAATAAAATGCCTTGCCTTTGGGATTAACTGTACTATAGATATTTGTATGTGCGTACTTTGTAGTCACTCACAAAGTGTTGCCTAACATGTGCATGCAGGTTATTAATCTGTGAATAAATATTTAATTAGGCCATTTATTTTGTGTTACTAATCAAGTCAATTGCTGCTTCGCCTCCTGCACTCCACCTTTCATTAGTGCAAACACAAATGTTTATCCATCATTAATTCATCTATAATGTATTAAAAGACTGAAATACATGTAGCACTGCTTGTTGTAAAGGTGGATAAACTGCAAGCCCCAGAGTATGAGCCAATATGAACTGGAGAAGTGTGTTGCTGCTGTATCACAGCCAAATCTCAATCTCCTACTGAATTCTATTTGAGATCTGATAAGATAAACACTTGACAGAGTTCATTTCATTCCCAAAAAGTTAATTATCTTTACTAATTAAGCAATGGATACTTTTTTGAAAGGCTTACATATTTAGGGTATTTTAGATAGATAGACGATACGATGTTTTGCTTTAAATTTAAGCCACCCTTTTTAAAAGTTATTCCACTTGAAGTTCTATGAATTGGACACAGTTTTAAACTTCAAACTTTATCCTTCATGTATGCAAAAGTATATTTTATTCACTATTTCACAGAGACTTATGCTATAGTTAATGTTAACACTACTACAAAAAAAACAGCAGACACTAGAATCTCAGAGTTACTAAGACCTCAAGAATGGAGGTTGTTCATAACTCTAAACAGTTCGTAACTCTGAACAAAACATTATGGTTGTTCTTTCTAACATTTACAACTGAACATTGATTTAATACCACTTTGAAACTTTACTATGCAGGGGGAAAATGCTTCTTTTAACCATCTTAATTTAAATAAAACAAACACAGAAACAGTTTCCTTACCTTGTCAAAAAAATTTTAAACTTTCCCTTTATCTTTTTAGTAGTTTATATTTAACACAGTTCTGTACTGTATTTGCATTTTTTGGAGGAAGGGGGGTCATGTGCTGCTCCCTGATTGCGTACTACTTGTTCCAAATTAGGTGTGTGGTTGACCAGTCAGTTGTCCATAACTCTGAGGTTCTACTGATAACTGCTTGCAGTAAATACACAAGCACTGACAGATTGTTGTTGTTGTTTAAAATCAAGTGCATTCACAAAATAAAAGTTTCATTAAGTCACACTTAAGGATTAAACATCCAATAAATCTCCCTAGCCTCTATTTGTCAGAGGGTGGAGATGGAGGGTGGGAGAGAGATCACTTGATCATTACCTGTTAGGTTCGCTCCCTCTGGGGCACCTGGCAATATTTGCACCCTTAAGGAACATAATTATGCCTTATTGATACTCATCTTGAATTCAAGTTTCCCTGGCTTTGAATTTGACTTCATAGGCCCAATTCTTCTTCACTCCAGTTGTATGCACTAGGAGCTACTGAAATTAATGGGGTTACTGTTGGGGGGAATAAAATGTGAAACAGAGGGGAATCAAGCTCAATATTCCTCTCATTTCTGTTTTATTGGTGATTTAGTATCCTTTCGATTCATACAATAATATAAGCTGTTTTATTATTAAGCAACCTGTTCTATTAAGTATAAGTGGTGTAGCCTACTTCTCAAACTAAAGTATAGAGAGAAAGTGCTGTATTCATCAGTTCTATATGCTGTACTTGACTCTGTTTGTCTCTGCTTGTCCATCTTTGTTTGAACATGTAAGTTGTTTTCCATCCCATAAATGCTTTTCCTTTTTACACAGCATATAGTTTGTATGGATATAGTATATGTACATGGAAGCTGACTAACAATATGAACATACCAACCATGTTGCTTTTGTCTTACAGCAAATCACAGTCTTTGACAAATGCCTTCAGTTTCACAGAATCATCCTTCTTTCGATCATCTGTGAACGAGGATGAAGCAAAAGCTGAAACCATCCGAAACTTGAGGAAGTCCTTTGCTAGCCTTTTTTCTGATTAGCCATTTGAAGATCAGTTTCATGCAGTTGCATATGGCTTATAGACTAGAACCTACAGTGAATATTATTTAGTGTTTATATCCCTGTGACCCATCCTCCATTACTGTTCCAAGCAATATGTTAATCTTTAAAAAGGTCTATGATGAGATATAATTCAGGTACACTGTATAAAAATCTATATAATATGAGAGGAAAAGCTATATTAGTAGTAGTACAAAATGCTTCATTTTATGGTCCTTGTCAATTGTAACATTGTGGCCTTACTATGACTGCACTATATTATCCTATTGGATACTCCTCTGTGGAATTGTTGTCATAAAGCATTGTGTTATGGGTTTCCCCTTGTTTTTCCCATCTCCAGTGCTTTGCAATGCATGTTTATGTTATGAGTGAATGTTTTGTGCTGCAAGGATACAGTCTTAACCTGACTTGTTCTTGCCTCAGATTGTTATGAGGCAATTCGCATTAGTGTTTCTTGTTGTCAAGCCACTTTACTGTTGTGAAAAATTAAAGCAGTTTTCTTCCTCCTTTGACAACCTTTCCGTCAACCAACTATAGAGTTCTGATATATTTGCTGAGCATTATCACTAGGCTAAAACAGTGATGTCATAAATAGAGTATGTGTATGCACTATTGTATCCTTATATGTCTGCTGAACATTTATTTCCTATTGTTAATTTAATAGTGATCTCTGAGTTGTAAAGTAACATGCATGACCTAATAATGTTACCAATATTTTTTGTGTACCCCTTCTAATAAATGCAAAGTCCTGTGCTTGGTAAAGAGAAGCTTTGAAGAAGACTGATTTCAACAATTAGGTGTACCGTGTTTTGACTTTGGTTGTCCATCTGTGTTTGTAAAATATTTGGACACCTAGGTCATTGCCATCAGAAACTAACATGCCACATTATCAGTTAACCATGAACCAAGAGAAACGTAATGTGGTAAATTTACAACTCACAGGAATGGAGCTTAGTTTTTCTAAGAGATTATACATATTGAAAATATTGCTCTGACTTGCTATAACAGAAGTGGTCCTACATATTGGGATCACAGCAGCATTTTTAAATGTTCAAGTCAATCTGAAGCAGATTAAAGCATGTCTAAATGAGCACTAGTCCAAGTTAACACTGTGCTCCTCTCTAAAACAAGTTACATACAACAGAGTGTTCCTTGGCAGGGAAAATTTGTGTTTCCTTTCCCTTGTTTGTCCTGATGTCATGTTAACACTTAAGAAGGGAAATAAGTGGCAGATGGTTTCCTTTTTTTTTCCAGAAAAAAAGGTATTTGCTTCCAGATCCTCAAGCTCCTATTTTTTCACGCTCATATAAAATTAGGCTTACTACCACATGGGTTAGAATCAGCAAAAAGATTCAGACAGATTTAGATATGCCTGGCCAAAGGTATATCCCATCCCCAGCATAGCCCCACTTACTCCAGTTACATCACGGAAGGAGGTGGCTCACCATGCACATATTTAGGGAACTGAAGTTATAAAGTTATCACAAGGTATATATATATAAAAGTAAAGTAACAACAGATCCTATCTAGCTCCTTGCTTACTTGTGACCTGGGAGAGTAGAAGAAGAAGAACGAACCACTGCAGTGGTAGTTTGATTAGTCTGAGTAAACTGTGTGTTATACTCAGAGCTCTCTGCAGCTGCGTTGGCCAAAAACTGACTGGTAAGATGCTCTATACTTCTTTAGCAAAGATTATTAGTTACCACACTTACTCTGTGTGTATACCAGCATCTTCCTAAATGATTTACATTTGGCCTCTTAGTGTCATTGGCAATTAAATTATTAATGAAAAGAAGGGTTCCTTAAAAATTATAGATCTGAGGAGTGTTCTAACATCTACTATTGAATGTACACAGAAAGCAATAAATACGGGATTTTTAGAGGGTTGTTTTGTTTTTTTAAAGCTCCACATCACCCTCAAATGAGGGTGGTAGCTAGAATCTACTTAAATAGATTTGTTCTAGACTTCAATTAGTATTACCCAGTGATGTGGGTTCACATCAGATTGGCTCTCACTTCTGTTCTAGACTTAGAAAAAAACATAATAAAAGTGTGAATTTAAAAACAGAAAAAAAACATATATGCATCAGCTACATCCTCCAGATGCCAAAACTTAACAGGTGCAGCTTGAGGGACCATTGTCCCTCAAGCTGCTTTCATACAGCTGAGGGACCTTTGTCAGGCTAAAGTCAGGTAGGCAGCGGGTGAAGAAAATGGAAAAGTGTCTGCTAACCTGCAGAGAAAGAATAGTAAAAAGACTTAAAAATATATAATCAAGATTTAAACCTATTATTTGTCCAGTACCCGAAATGTGACAGGCACTTACACAAATAAAATAGACAAAGTTCACATTCTTGTGCATCCTTCCTTGAAATACAATTCATTTTTCTAAAGAAAATGGAGTATAATATCAGCCCAAGAAGATATAAGCTGTTTTGTTCATTATTTGTATTATGATACCATGTAAAGGCCCTGTCATAAATATAAAGGGAAGGGTAAACCCCTTTAAAATCCCTCCTGGCCAGAGGAAAAATTCTCTCACCTCTAAAGGGTTAAGAAGCTAAAGGTAACCTCGCTGGCACCTGACCAAAATGACCAATGAGGAGACAAGATACTTTCAAAAGCTGGGAGGAGGGAGAGAAACAAAGGGTCTCTCTCTGTTGGCATGCTGCTTTTGTCAGGGATAGAACAGGAATGGAGTCTTAGAACTTTTAGTAAGTAGTCTAGCTAGGTATGCGTTAGATTATGATTCCTTTAAATGGCTGAGAAAAGAATTGTGCTGAATAGAGTGACTATTTCTGTCTGTGTGTCTTTTTTGTAACTTAAGGTTTTGCCTAGAGGGGTTCTCTATGTTTTGAATCTAATTACCCTGTAAGGTACCTACCATCCTGATTTTACAGGGGTGATTCCTTTACTCCTATTTACTTCTAGTTCTATTAAAAGTCTTCTTGTAAGAAAACTGAATGCTTTTTCATTGTTCTCAGATCCAAGGGTTTGGGTCTGTGGTCACCTATGCAAATTGGTGAGGATTTTTACCAAACCTTTCCGAGGAAGTGGGGTGCAAGGATTGGGAGGATTTTGGGGGGAAAGATGTGTCCAAACTACGTTTCCCAGTAAACCCAGTTAGCGTTTGGTGGTGGCAGTGGTTATTCCAAGGACAAAAGATAAAATTAATTTGTACCTTGGGGAAGTTTTAACCTAAGCTGGTAAAAGTAAGCTTAGGAGGTTTTCATGCAGGTCCCCACATCTCTACCCTAGAGTTCAGAGTGGGGGAGGAACCTTGAGAGGACCCAACAGAGATCAGGGCCCATTTTGCTGTACGTACATCTAGTAAGAGACAGTCCTTACTTTGAAAAGCTTACAAGTAATATTAACCCCATTTTTGCAAATAATGAACTGTTTGTCACTATTTTTAAAAATTAAATTAGGAGGTGCTCGAATACTATAGCGAAGATGACCAACAAAGTATCTAGATATATTTACAGGCAGTTAAGGGGTTTAAGTAAGTAAGTTTCTCAATTACAAAAGTATCCATTGTAAAGCTAGGATAAAAATGTATAAGAGTTCTCATTTGCCCCAAAACAGTGATTATTTTGTTCTTACTTTGTGTAGTTGTTAAAAAGGAAAAATTACAAGTTACTAGCATTTTGCTATTGCTTTGCCATAGTCTTGTGTGAAACAAAGTTCATTTACTTGAAAGTATTTATGGATTCCCTAACAGATTTTAGAGGCTTGAGTTTTATTAGCTCTCTGAGTTTATACCTCCTACCAACTTAAAATAACAATTTAAGAAGTATACATAAAACACAGATTTCGCCTCCCATGTTATTGAGATTGTCAGCAGATCTAAGCCTCTTCAACTATACCGGACTCCTTTTTGGTGAGTGACCCTGTTTGGAGCTTGGTGATGAGATATGGAGCCTTGTATCTCTAATTCACTAAGTTTTTACCTATAAAAAAGTGTTATTGGACTTTTATTCATCAATGTAAAATGATTTGGTGATCTTAGTACACACAGCAGCTGTCCGCATCACCGTTGGCACCCTATTTGGATTCTCAGTTAAGGACTGACTGGCTATGGAAAGCTCAACTAACATGCTCCCTTCAGATCAATGTTGAAACATGTTAGTAGGGAAGTTTGCACTACTTCTGCTAATATACTAGCTAGTGTGAATGTATAGCACTGCCTTTTACTGGATTGAATGGCAGACCTGATCAAGTGTCTTGTGACCATCTTCCTGTAGCAGCAACAGCACTCAAAGAATAGAAGCCCTAATACTGAAAGAGTGGCAATTTCACTTTATTTCAAGGGGCATGCACTTTGGAAGCAGAAATCTTCTAGTTCTTTCCCTTTTCCTGTGGGTCATGAATTCTGTGTACTAGTTCTGTGGCGAAGTACAGGGCTTCAATTTCCTTGCTACTCGTCTCCACCACATAGCTGCTCTTTTTAATTAGCCCAATCAAATATAATACCTACAACTTTGAATTTGTTTTGTATTTATTGGACTAAACACCCTTCATTATGCTGCAGTAGTACCAGTTATATAGTACTTTATGAAACACTTTAAAATCTTTGTAATCAATCTAAAATTAAAATAACTAAAGCAAATTAATTACTGCTACAGAGAAAAGTGTAGTCATTAAGCATAATTTGGCATTATGCATAATTAGCACCTGTCTAGTTTCAAAAGTATGCACATAGTACAATATGCATTACAGAGCTCATTAGGTCAGGCCTCACCTTTCTGCTTGAGACAAAGTTTCACACTTTCATATAAAATTCCCTGCCATCGTGTACTTGGATAAAGCCAGTTTCCCCACAGGCTTTGTTTTACTTTCTGGAGAAAATGGTGAAACAATCAGCTCTGCAGTGTATCCTCCCACACAGAGTACATACCACATCACCACTCCACTGTGTAAAAGTTTCTTTATATCTCTAACTGTACCAATGCATTTCACATGCAAGCTGATACATGCCTATGCTCTAGATGTAGAGTTTCAGGTTTAAGAGATTTTGTTTTATAAAGTGATCTGTAAAACCCGCTAAGCAAGACAAAACCAAAAAAACTAATGGTGTTAGTCACTTATAAAATCAGTTCAGTCCCTTACCATATTGTCCTATAAGTCACTGGTATTACCTCACTAAACAGCTTGAGCTTTGAATTCAGATGCAAGTTGCCAGCTCCAAATTTAAAGATCCAGTTACCCAATATGTTGCTATCTAGGTTTGTACAGTGGCACCCACCAAAGTAGTATCAGAGCGACAGTAGGCAGCAGTTGCACAACGTTGAGCCACCTGGACAAACTACCCAAGAACCCAAAGGCTGCAACTAATTTGCATAAAATTTAGTAATGGAGCCAATTGCAAATATGGTTATTTTTACCATGGAGTTTATGAAGACAGGCAGTCCCAATATACAGTGCTCCATCTTACTCAAAGTGGCAGTCCTTTTCACCTTTCACAAACAAACACAATACAAAATCTTATAGTAGGGTTTATAAAATTTATTCTGAAAACTGGAATGGACCTACTTCCTCACAGTTAAGTTCTGAGACACTGCAATGTATTTAAGCAAGTTTTATAATAATAGACTATAATTATGTACCAGGAAAACACATTAACTTTGAAGGAGTCATTTCTCTCTCCAGTAAGTGAACATAGTGTTAAAGTGTTTTTTCAAAAGGCACATATTACTCCCCCTCCTCTCATCCCCACCCAAAAAAAGGAAATACCTCCTGGGGAGTCCTTCCGGCCAATTCTGTCTCAATGACTGGTCACACACAGTAGAAAAATCTTATAAAGACCACTTAAAAAAAGTTGCAGGAGCAGGTTTTGATCCTGGGTATCGTTTAACTTTTCTGCACCAAAAAAACAAACTCCAGAAGTGATTACTAATTAGACCATATTATAAACTAGACGTTTGCTAAAAAAGGCAATGAGTTTAGAGTTATGGAATGCTAACATAATGTTTCCAACACGGAAATGTTATTATACTTGCTTAATTTTTTAAACTAGCCAAAACCTTTTCTAAAGAAGCTAACTTATGAAAACTTGGGTCAAGATTTTCAAAGGTAAGTGCCTAAAATTAGGCTTCTAAATCCATATGTAATGACCTAATAAGTGGCCTGATTTTGAAAACTGCTGCACACTTTCTTCTGTTCTATGCTTGCCCCTAAGATTGTTCAAACTCATGATGCTAAACTATATTTGAAGTCAGGGAAAGATAAATTAGCCTATCTCTAGTTAAAATACTAAGAGTTTTTATTTACTAATTCTTATTTTGCTAAGGAGACTTCTCAACAGCATCTCACTAAAAAGGAAAACAAAAAAGATGCCCAAAGTATCAAGAAGTATTTTAACTAAAATAAGCAGTGAGGAAGTTCAGATGGATTAACTCCTCATCCTGCCTTGAGATAGCCCATTAAAAAGAGGGAAATGCTCTCTTCCAGGGATTATGATTCACATGTTGAAACAGACTATCTAGATTTGGAAAGTGGAGCGAAAACATCTCTGAGAAATGTAAAACATCAGCAAGTAAGTTAAAAATACTGCAACAAATTAAAACCTGTTACAAGACTTTGAAGTATAATATATAAAAGACCAAGCATATAGAGACACTTTTTTTAGCGTACAGTAGAACCTCAGAGTTATGAACACCTCAGGAATGGAAGTTGTTCATAATGCTGAAACGTTCGTAACTGAACAAAACGTTATGGTTCTTTCAAAAGTTTACAACTAAAAATTGACTTAATACAGCTTTGATACTTTACTATGCAGAAGAAAAATGCTGCTTTCCCTTTTATTGAGTCATTTATGTTTAACACAATACTGTACTGTATTTGCTTTGGGCGGGGGGTGTGTCTGCTGTTGCCTGACTGTGTACTTCTGGTTCCAAATTAGGTGTGGGATTGACTGGTCAGTACGTAACTCTGAGGTTCTACTGCATAGGTTTTGTTTGATTTGGGCATTTCAAATTCTCCTCCAGAAGCACCATATCTGATAACTAAGAACCTGTAGTTCTGTATTTTATTTGATATTATTACAGCTGTATACTTTGCCGCAGCGATCAAGCCACTTGGGGTTGATGTAGTGGGTCTAGTGAAGACTCGCTTAATCGACCACAGATCGCTCTCCCATCGACTCCAGTACTCCACTGAAACGAGAAGCATAAGGTAAGTCGACGGGAGACTTTCTCCCATCAACCCAGCATGGTGTAAACACTGCAATAAGTCGACCTAAGCTATGTCGACTCCAACTACATTATTCATGTAGCTGAAGTTGTGTAATTTAGGTCGACTTAACCCTGTAGTGTAGACCTGCCCTGAGAATCATAGAAATGTAGGGCTGGAAATCCTTGAGAAGTCATCAAGTCCCAGCCCCCTGTGCTGTGGAAGTAAACCTAGATCATTCCTGACAAGTGTTTGTTCAACTTGTTTCTAAAAGCTTCCCTTCATGCGAACTCCACAACCTCTCTTGGAAGCCTATTCCAGAGCTTAGCTCTCCTTACAGTTACAAAGTTTTTCCTAATATCTAACCTAAATCTTCCTTGCTGCAGATTAAGCCCATTACTTCTTGTCCTACCTTCAGTGAACTTGGAGTACAATTGATTACTGTACTCTTTATAACAGCCCTAAACATATTGGAAGATTTATCAGATCGCCCCTTGGTCTTCTTTACTCAAGACTAAATGTACCCAGTTTTTTCAACCTTTCCTCATAGATCAGGTTTTCTAAACCTTGTACTGCATCATTTTTGTTGCTCTCCTCTGGACTCTTTCCAATGTGTCCACATGCTTCCTCAATCATGCTGCCCAGAATTAGAGAAAGTACTCCAGGTGGGGCCTTACCAGTGCCAAGGACAGAGGGACAATTACCTCCTATGTCTGACATACAACACTTCTGTTAATAAACTCCATAATCATATTAGCCTTTTTTGCAGCTGCACATGAACAACTCATA